CAGGTAATTTTGGAGGTAAATTTCGTTGCTATCAGTATTTGGGTTTCTGAATGCGAGATCTATTCAGATACAAATGGAATTCGATACCTCCAGAGCTTTGTTTGGCGCTACGTAATCGGATATTTCAGGCGATTGACACTTTGGTGCAAGAGGTGAGGCATTGCCGTGTAGAGTTTGCTTACTGGTTTCAGAGATTAAAAAGGCCATGTTTTAAGGAAACTGTTGAGTCATGTGCGAGGTGTGTCGTGGCTATGATGGAGCACGAGTGGCCCCAAAATTGGCCTGAGTTGACTCACAACTTCAAGAAATCTGTTCTCGAAGTAAGCTATACTTCTAATCTTGATTTATATGTTGGGTTGTTCTTTTCACTCTTTTTGATACCTAATGACATGCATTAATGATTGACTTCCTCGCTCCACTAACCAGGGAAGGTATTCAACTTCCCATATAACTTTGATCTAGACCCAGACTTATCGATAGAAATTCAAACGCTGATCACAAATGTGGAAATCAAAACTGCAAAATGAACGCTGCCAAGAAAGTTGTGAACAGTCAAAACTCACCGCGGAGTAGTGGTAGTGCCCTCACTCCTCACCCGGGAGATCATAAGTTCTCTTCCCGCTGAATTGCAAGTTTCGAGAGCACTACCACTACTCCATGGAAACTTTGAAAGCCTGGGCGTCAACACGGTTGATACGTAACGCTTTACTTTCAGCCAACCTTGACTTCTCACAACTTTAGCAGGTTTATTTTGCAGTTTTAGTTTCCATAACTGTAATCAGCGTTCAAAGCTCTATCGCTATATTTGGGTCTCAACTTGAAGTTTCATAGGAAGTTGAATGCCTTACCTGTTAAGTGGAATATTGGTGTGAATGGAATCAAAGTTTGCCGGCAGGCACGATTCAGTGGTGACCGACTAGTTCACCGCTACTTGTAGTTCTGTAAACGTAACCTGCGGTGGGTTACGTAGCAGCAAACTCTTGTTCCATTCATTTCGATCCGCCTTCATCGTTTTTTTTTTCTCGAAAAATCATTGAGGATTGATGACCGTATAATAAGTGAGCGAATGTGTGCAATTCTAGTGTGAAAATCATTTTTTTCCATCATTTTGAGAAATCGGGCCCACCATTCAAGATTCGTTTCGATTAAATGCACCAGCGGGTAATGTTGCGTTATGTGGTGAGAGACCTAAACAGTCTTTAATTTGGAGAGCAGTTTCTAAAATTCTATTGAAGAGGTGGAGGCTTGCTATCAAAATGGGTCCATGTTTGGAAGCAATATTTTTGCAGTTATTATTCAGAGCTCTTAGTTTTTCAAGTGTTAATTTTCTAGAATTCGGTGAAAAAATCTTTTGCATGCCTCTTAGCTGTGAGGAAAAGCACAACTTTCTAGGTTTCTTACATTGCGCAATTGTATTTGCAATTCAACGACGACTAGTGGAGAATGTTGCTACCTTGGCATCTGTTGCAAACGTGCGTCGCCGCAAAGACATGCACGGCGCAATGGTTGGTGGCTTTGCGAATTCATTCGTAGAAACAGCGTTGGCTCATCAGTTACTTATCAACCGCCTGAGTCATCGTTTTCAATTTACTGTTTCAGGTTGAATCTGTTGACGATTTCCTGACACTCGCTCTGGATAAGCTTGACTCCTGTCCGCTAGGTAAGTAGATCGTCATCTACTGCCTTTTGTGTTGAATGTGTTTAGCTATTTGCAGATCAGGCGAATTTACTCGCCGCAAGGAATATTTTCGGTTGGCTGATTGAAGTGTGCAGTTGCGTGACTTCCGAGTCAATGGAAAACCAACTTATACGAATTGTTGACACAGTGACTCGTTATCTGAGTACTGCGGAAGGAAATATCTACGAGCAGGCTGCACAATGCTTGGCAACACTTTCTGCTAGGAGAAGGTACACACTCATTTTTTCGGGGCACATTTTAAAGCTAATCTATAGTTCCATTCAAACACACGCTTGTACAGGATTATCATCTTGATGTTTCACTTCATTATTTTCAGTTATCTTTTGCTTTTTATTTTTCCTACCTCCATCTATATCGATATATTTGTGTGCTACATAAACAAGAATATCAGGTGTTACACGTTGGCGACTGCTGTTGTATGCGCGTGTACCCGTTTTTTTACACTTTTCATCAGTAGTGAATGATTTACCAATATCTTAAGTATTGGTAATGATTTACCAATATCTTAAGTATTGGTAATATAGAGTACTATTTTCTGTATCCGGTAATGTATATGGACTGTTTGGAACATGGAAGCAGAAATCAAGCAAAACGCGCCTCGCGGGACACATGGGTACCGCGCTGTCGTCAGTGTGTTAATCGATCCTTACCTTCGCAGTCCATGTGAATTTTGTGCCGTTCGCGTCTTTTTTTGTTGTCAAATGAAAAGGCTATGCTCAAAATGACATATTATATGTGATGAAATTGAAACCCTGTTGTTTTTGTATTCGTGTTTACTTATCGAGCAGCACACTTATTCGTGATCTAGTATTATCTTTAGATTAAAAAAGGAACTTCTTCAAGTAATGTTGGTCGGGTTGCTAGTTTTGGTCATGGGTCGGTAGATCGGAACGCGGCGTCGCACCTTTTACAGTCCAACGTTTTCGTTGCTGCTTCGATATCGTGGTGGCAATAGTCAGCGCCGTCCTTTGCAGAGCTTTCCGGAGTGAAAATGTTGATTTGCGAAAAGCGTGGCGCCGAAATAGACACGCAGGGGTTCACACCCGTTAATTTTGAGTGGCAGAGTAGGCGGAATATCTAACAAAGCTAATTTTCTTGTTGCAGGGAGAAAAACGACAAGTCAATAGTGATATCAGCATTCTTCCGGCAAGAAGTGTTCTCAGCGATTCTTACTGTCACGAGGTATTCGCGTTTTGCTCTAATTTCTGTCCAAGCATCACCGTCTGATTCCTTTGCAGCCTTGCAGCGGACAACTCTTACTCCAGCGAACAACATTACCGTTTTCTCAAATCGCTTTGTGAAGTGCTGACCACTTTGGGAAGTAAGCTGTTTTTTTTTCGTGGTATTTGCGGTTACTCAGTGCCTTTCGGCTGGTACGAATAAGGGTGCCCCGGGGGTGGTGAACACAGTTGCTTTGGTATTCCCAATTAATCATTGTTGTATTGTAGCTCCTTCTCTGGGACTTCTCTTCACTATTCTCAATTTTTAATCTTTGAATTTGGTGAGGTTCTGTGTAACCACTAACCTCCGCACTCTTTCTCGGCTCTAATTATTTTACGGCAAGTCTTGCTCCCTTCAGCATTCGCTGTAACGATTAGGTCGCTGTCATACTTAGCGACCTTGCAGTTCGAGTGTGGAGTAGATACGTATGGACCATGCGATTCTGCGTCTGCGTCATCCATACCTATCCCTTCATTCTCGGCATGCAAATGAAGTAAAAGGCAGTAGTGAAGTACGACCGCGATCTTAGGACGTATCCTAATACTAGCTGCTTTCTCAGGCGGTGTTTTCATTTAGTATTTTCAATTTTTACGGCTAAAGGACACTTCGCCGCCAGATGAAAGGATTTTTGTGTTGTAAATTCACACTTCTTCGGGACCCTTTATAGATTTCCTCTCAAAAGTATGGACGGAGAAATCACCGCCGGCAAACTTTGGAACGTACATTTCGGCCATTGTCGCCTTTTTCACCCACGAATCATTGGTATGTTCATTTCAGCCTGCGATGAGCTTAATTTTTTTTCGATACCTTATTCGCGCACTTTTCATCTAATGGATTGTTTTTAGTACCTACGACACGAAGCGTGTGACGTTCTCGTGGCACTTTCCAGTCATGCTTTATTCCGTGAAGACGAGCATCTGATACAATCGTTGCGCCTCGTATTTTCAAATATTCTCCGTGCATTCACAAAGGTGATACAGTTCTCTTCATTCATGTCTGCTTGTTTCGGGATCGGCCTCATGTATTTTGTTTTCAGCATGGATATCCATCACAAAACCCACCCGCCTGCTAGTCATTATTCCCAGATGGATTCGAGGACGACTTGGAATGGCATCACTTTTTCATGCGTAAGTATTTTCCCTCTTTATCCCCAAACCCTTGTTTTTCGTGACCTGTGGTGTCGTAAGGACAGCCTTAGCAACATACATGGTGTCAGATAGCGCAACGGGCGCTTGAAGCAGTGAATCACCGATTCTGCATTTATGATGCATCATGTTTGAAGATAAAAGGATATAGTATTTGCCACTGAGGTGCTCCATGCATTCTACCTCCTCTATTCGTCTACGTAACGACTTGCTGGGGCTAGCTAATATACAAGTTCGGTGTTTTTATTCTCGCAGCCAAGTGCGGTACCAGTGAACCGACCTCTTAGGGATGAAAGGCTGGGTTGGCTTGAATGGCATACGAATGAATGGCTTCATAGTCACTAATATGCAAAATTGACCCATATGTTCTGGGTGCACATTCACGGAAGAGAGTGTTCTTTTATATTGCAGCCGTTAGTCATAAGTCGCAAGGAGTTTGATGTTGCTAAAAGCGGGTGATTGTCATATCCTTTTGAGGCACCTAGGTGGGCGACCAGTATGTCTAACGTACACAAAATAGGCCGGGTACGATCGTGCTCTTCACATTATTTGTTGCAGACACGAGTCCGTCGTGATATTTTTGAGCATTCTTCGTTTCTTGAGTTTGAGAAATTTGTGGCATCATTATCGTATGTGTATGCAGTACTCCCATGCTGTAAACAACTTGATCGTAGCGATTTTTACCAGTTTACCCCAGTGAAAAGATGTTGACGTACCATTTTTTCAGGATTCCGCTCCCGTCTTCAGCTTCTCATTGGAGAGAATCTCAGTACACATTTTGAACACTTACTCTCCGTTTATGAAAAGGATGTGTCCCAAAGAGTTCTAACCGATCCTTATGGAGGTCTCGCTTCTGTGATATAATTTTCTTGGCAATGTGAACTTATTACTCTCCTGATGAGTCTGTTTTAGTGAAAGAAGTCGAATGGGATGCTATGCAGAAATTTGCTCGAAGTGTTATTCTAGTCGCTTATGAAAGAAAGATCGTTGATAAGGTGGGCTCGGTGTAAATCTGATTGAACTGTTAGATCAAACACAATTTTTTCGGGAAATTCAGAAGAATGAACGTCTGATTACGATGCGGAATTCTTTGCTGACAGTGATGGGAAATGTGACTGGTTGTGATGTTCTAAGCGAGGTAAGGTTCCACTACTTCCATTTTCGATTAGATTTTGAATAGAGCAGTCAAGACCAGGAGTGGAGTACTGATCATAAAATTGACAATGCACCGGAAGCATAGGAGGATGTGGCGTCAGAAGAAAAGGGCACGTCGCACTTTTTGCAGTACAACCGTTTCGTTGTGGGACTAGATGCAAAATCCGGGATCAGTAAATCCGCAGCGCGACTGGGGATCCATATGCGCATGAGCGTGTGCGGGACCGTCGGCACGGACTACTTTATTTTTCCTCAATGGTCCTGTCGCGATGGCTAGACCACAGACGATTAAAGAACGGGTGAATGTCCTAGAACTAAGCCTCGGAGAGGAGAGAGCCGCGAGAGAGCGCAGAGGCGGTTCAAAGGGTTGAGTTCAAGTAGTCCGTCGACTTGTCGAGGACATAGCGTTTCCGTAGTGCTGAATTTCCTGATTGCCGAATTTTCAGAAGTTGTGCATCGCTGAACGATGTGGTACACGCTAATGTAAACATGGTTCCCTGTCGCAAGTGGAGCGCGCGTGCGGGTTGCAGATGCTTTTAATGTGGGATCTTGCATCATAGCAGGGCCAAGGGCGCGTTGCATAGTTTTCAAGGGGGCAGTGTACTGTGCGAGAGTAGTACCGAGAGTGTACGTACGCGCGGAGGGCACAAACGGCGCGCATGGCGAACGAGAATGTCTGCGCGGGAAACGTGATCAGGCGATAATCGACAAGCCGTTGAGAAATCCTCGACCGATATTCACCCTGCATGTTGGGTTGTACATGGGTTTTTTTTTGAGGGAGAAGTTTGTATGTAGGGTTGGTAAAGGCTAGAAGACAGAAGGAAGGGGTCGTAGCGGTTGTAGAGGAGTCGTGTTTGAGGTTTATTTTGTGGGGGGACTGCATAAATGAAGCAAGAAGTAATGAAAATTAGAGGATCTTTCGTTCTTTTTGACATACTTATTTACCAGTCCTCACCACTCCTGCTGTCGGCGGCCGTCTCGGAGGAAAAAGTGTACAGACTTGACTGGTCGACGACTCTGTGCTGACTGGTGTTAGATATAGAAACAGCCGCGGGGTAAGGGTTGTGTCGAAGTAGGGGAGGGGATCGCATCGAAACACCATTAATAGGGGGTCGTAAAACTTTTGAAATCTGCCCAACGCACGGTTGATCCTGCATCGTAGTCACGTAGCGAAATGCTGAATGTAAATTTACGAGATACGGCTTTGTGTTACGTTATACCATACCTATGACGGCGCGAGGCGGTTGACGGTTGACGGTGCACCGGCCCGCCTACGCTACGCTTCGCTACTGCGTGAATGTATGGTATTTAGCATTTTATTTTTGAATGAGCTCCGCGGTAGATTCTTAATCTGCAGCGGCCGTAAAAACAGAGATCAACAGTGCAATATGTTCTCATTTCATACTAACTCTTCAGATGTTGTCTCTTCATTCACCGTTTATGTTGAGCTATGAGGAGGATTTCGACAACTTCATGAGCTATTTTTCACTCTTAAGAAAGTAAGACTATCTTGCCATTAATGCCTTGACGACATTGCCTTGACTCAATAGTACTATGCCTTGCAGGCAACGGCGCGGCGTAGCTTCCAATAGTACCAACCCTTTTGACTAATTTCTTGTCCCTATGAGCAAGGTGAATAACGGTCGAGGAAATCCTTGACCATAGCTCTGTACTATGCGAGATAGTGCCGAGATTGGACGTACACGCGGAGAGCACACACGGCTCGCGCCTGGCGAGTGTGAATGTCTGAGCGGGAGAACGTAACTGATCAGGCGAAAATCCTGGACGTGCCGTCGAGGAATCCTCGACCGTTATTCACCCTGCCTATGAGAGATCCAGATTCTTCAAATTTATTCTACAGACCAATGTCAAACAACTATGAACGAGGCGGTCCTAATCAATATACTGTTTTTCGGCCAAGCTCGAAAAATCGCTCCTATCGCACTCGGCTTAAACACGATGTCGTCAAGGTGTTAACATTAAATCAGAGGATATATAAAATGCATGTTTCAGGGCTTTGATCATGTCAACCGGGAACAAAACACTAAACAGGCATGTTATAAGTCTAATTCTGCGTGCTGTTCAGCATTTCCCAAATTATTTCAAGGTATGGCTATTTCCAAAACCATTGTTTATAGTCGTTGCTCGTGGGCTAAATGGCGTCACCATAAATCCGTTTCAAGATCGAGGAGCTATTCAAATTTGAAGTGGTCACGATTTCTGCTGGGCGTTGCGGTTTTGACGACGTCCTTCGCCATTGGTGGACGGCCGTCAAGTGGCGGTCCAGTCCATACCCCGGCGCGACGAGGGGTCGTCGTTGACTAGTGAGCTTCAATGACGTCATCAAGACAACGCCCTTCGGCCATCATGGTCACTGCCTCTAACAATAAGTCATAACCCTACTGTAGCACAGTCTAGCTTGTATGCAAGTGGATAAGCAGCGGGGGAAAGGCTTACTGCCAGTTCTGTTCTCCATCATTATTTTAGTGCAACCCCATTTGGACAAAGTATAGGTTCCAAAATGACAACATCTTTGGGTCCCTTACGGTTTTAACAGTGCGACTGCCAGACTGCTGTATTTTTCTTCCAGGATCATGTGGCAGACGTCATTGCTTTATATGCTGAAGTCGACGGTGTCATCTCGAAAATGCAAATGGCTCAATTGCTGCAGGTAAAGCGCACGAGCTGTTTTGTGTTTGAAGTGAAAAGTAATTCTAATGTTTAGGTTTTGGCATTCCTTTCGAACACAGTTGATGATGAATCGGTGCGATTGAAGTTGTTGCAAATGGCAGTCGCTCCATCTGTTGAGCACATTCGTAACATAGAATGGTCAGGACAAAACTTGAACGATTAATTTGTGACCATCTTACTCTGTTCTTTCCCTCCCATTTTTTAACGGATGGCTCAAGAGAGCCTCATTTTGTGAAATTAAGTATGTTCGTTAGTCTTTTTTGAAGGTCTCTCGAGAACGTTTCGACATTTATCAAGTTCAATGGATTTGATGTGATGCCTGCGGATTCATTGGAATCGGCATGCAATGTCAACAGAGTAGAGGTGTTGTTTGTATTCTTCTTCGAATATCGAATATGCCGATTAAAACCAAAAAGAACGGAATCGAACCACCCTCCGGTCATGGTTCCCCTTAAACACCCGAAATCTTTACATAATACATTTTGATTGCTTTTTAGCTGAGACGAGCTCTTACTTGCATCCAAGGAGCTGTTCACCAAGTGAACAAGTCAAGTCCTCTGGCGTCCTTACTAGTGCCGATCTTTCCATCGTTTTTCAAATTGAGCAGGTACTTTTTACAGCAAAATCTGTTTATGCTTGCGGTTTTTCTTCGGTTTTGCGTCGAGAGCCTTAAACAAAGGCACACATGAGCATATGGCATCATATGCCTGTGATTGGTGGGTACAGGTGCGAGTCTTCTGCTCATGACTGGTGGCCACATCATGTACAGGACTCGTATGTACCGCACACCAGTCCCCTGTTCATAACTCCAATGCATGCTGAGCGGGACCGCAAATACTTTCCTTTTCTCATGTTCAATACTATTCATGATTATTCAGGTGCTTGATGGATTTACATCTAGAGGAATGTAAACAGCTGCTCCACCCATTGTTACGTGACAACCTCACTAAAATTGTTGCATTTGAAAGGCAACAGATTTACTGTATGTTCGATTTTTCAAGCGTCATAATAGTTGGACATATTACGAATTGTAATCATTTTTGATTCAAATGCTCTAGGGCTTGAATGTTTTAAGCAAGGCTCTGATCTACTAATTAAGGCTCCGTCGGAGAAAATATCGAAGTTATCACAGGACGCTCCACCACTGCAGAGACAGATCCTATCAACATCGAACGCCAGTACGTGCACGATTTGAATGATCAAATGTGAGCCATTTTCAATTATTCTTTTTCCTTGTTTTGGAGTCCGAAGAAATGAAGCCATTTCCTGATATTATCAGCCGCGTTTACACTTCTTGGCAGAGAGTGATTCCCTCGTAAATTTCTCATCTACTTAGTAATTCAGACCTTATCCCAACAGTCCCAGTTGGGAGATCCTCTCTTATTTTCGAACAAAGTAACAGCTCTACTCGATCGTGACCCGTGCCTTTAAATTTTACAATAACTCTAGTGTTGTGTGATCTTTTCCTAATACATCTGCATTACGGATGTTTTTCCTTGCGCTCTGTCTTGTGCGGATCTGTGAATTGGACAACTTGTCTACTCTCTCGAAGTAATGCTATAGGAAAATACCCATGATAAAGTGAGTGAAATTTTGAGAAAGAAGGAGTAGGTTCCGTATATGATAAGCTATAGACGTTTTTGTATAACTACTGATTTTACGTTACGTTTTACTAATACGTTTTCGTATACAAAATATATGCTAGAAACGACGTCATCTGGCGCCAAAAGCTGGTTCGTGGGCCCTGATTTGGAGTATCTTTCATTTGTCGCTTTCTGTCGTATCATTCCTTGCTATACTCTCTCCTCTTCGTCTTTCGTCGTTTCGCATCGACACCGCACTATTGTCTCGTAGGCGGCCTCTTGTTATCCTCCACAGCATGGAACCAAGGGGCCTGGCTTTCAGTATTTCTGACGGTTTGACTTCCTTTTTTCTTCTTAGTTGATGCTCCACTTCGTTTTGTCACTTCCATGATCAGGTGCAATTGCCATGCCAATTTAAATGTGAGGTGATCTTTAAGTTCTAATGTAAAATTCATTGTGTGGGTATATTTTCAGCATAACAATCATATCGGTATCGGCGAACAAGTTTGCTGATAAATTGTTCACGTTGAACGATCTTCCGCAATTGTTGCTCGGCATGGTCTCAAGTTTCGAATCAGTACCGGAGTTCAGATTACGCTGTTGGATCAAAAAAGTCTGGTGAGTTTTTTTTCTATTGTTTTATTTTCCGTATGTGAGGTAGCGTGAGGAAATTATGCCGCAGACGTTCTTTTCGCTGTGAGGTGAATTGTTTCAAAAAAGTCTTTCCTTTTCGTTTTTACCCGCTTACTGCCATATACTCTTAGTATTGATGGTGTAGAGTAGTAGTACACATCAAAAGTTTGTCCTGCAACAGAGTTCAAGTTTGGACGTTTTCACTCAAATTTTTGGGATACCAGACGAATAGCTACAACCCATGAAGAATGGTTCTTGGTTGTTACTCCTGTTCGTCACGCTATTCTATTCCTCACTGCAGTAGTGCAGTGATCCTAATTTATCATGAGTCGACACACTCATGTCATTTCCTCTTCTACTTAACTCAATTTGTTCTTTTGAATCGTTGCGATTTGCTGTGACCTTCTGTGAGCTTCATTCGATGTTCTCTGCTTGAAGGATTTGGCGTCTGGACAAGCTGGGTCAGCTGAAGTGAACGCTTTCGATTTGTCGCAGATCCGTGCGTAGCAAGCTCCACTACGGGTACCTCTGCGCGGCGCAGTTATGCGCATCAATTTTTCAATGGGAGACACGGCGACTTCAGGGGATACAGACTATCAATATTCCTAATGTCGACTGTGAAAGCAACAGAACATGGAGCATGCTAGTCACTACTCTTTTCACTAATCAATGCCAGCAACAACACCATTTTGTAAGCTCCCTTGTCTTGCTGTCGTGTATGAGTCAGCCTTTTTTCTTCGCATATATCCCGGATAATTTTTGGCGGTGACACGAATTTTTGGCGCGTAAAGCGAGAAGCTCAGTTTTCACCTTCACAGAGCGAAACAGTTGACGGAGGGAGGTATACCGAGCTTGAGTTTGAAATCCTACAGAAAGCAAATTGCCGAAAAGTGGAATTCCTCACATATATAGGTTGCAAGAGTTCTTACGGCATTATTACGAGAAGGGAACATGAATGGGGTCTCGCTGTAGAGCCGAAAAGAATCACCCAGTATATTAACTGAAATATTGAAGGGAGGAGTCGGTTTTCATGCCAACCCCCCCTTTAAACGTTCAACCCAAATTGAGTGGCTGATTCAACTGAACAATGATGAAACAACCTCGTCACCATCCCCATGCGGCGTCGCGGTCGCGACCATCCAGCCGACGCCCCTCGCTCGCGGACAGATTCTGTTGCTCACAAAACGGCCCCGATTATTCTCGCATCTACACGGGCTGGCTCATAATATGGCCGCAAATTAAACTAGGATGGTCACTCCCCCACCCGTGAGTCTAAACATTGACATCCTTCGCAATAAAGAGAATAACTAATAATCAATCTTCGAATAAATTATCTTTATCTACAGTAGCACATAGACAATTCATTACTAAGATGGCGTTTAAAAAAAAATATGTGCACAGCCCATATCAAAATTCACTATCTTGAACGGGAACGAATATAGTTACACTTTGGCTACTTGCAACACACTCTCAAACCTCAGATTCTCGTTAGTCGTACCTATCTATAGAGAGAAGCAGATAATATCGAACATCACTTTTCGAAAAAAGATTATTGGATGAAAATTCTTTTCTTATGTTTTCAAAAGTAATAGTGCACAACTTAACAAACAGACAAACAAATAAAGCCTGAAGATTAATCAGCTGGGAAGCCGTAGGAGTTCTTGATAATCTTCACGATCGAACACATACCTGTCGGAATAGATACTGAAAACACACGTTTGGAATAGCTGTTATCAGTACGTGGTGGCCCAAATAGCCTCTAGCCCAACGCGCCTTCAAGTTCCATCCCCCGCGGTATTCATACCTCAGCCCGTTGCTAAAGTTAACGCCTTGTCAAGGGCTCCTATTAGGGTTGCAGTAAGGAGAGAAACACAAGCCGCTCTATCGTTCAGCACCATTGGTTAAGGCATTCATTTGGTAGCATTTGCGAAGCATGAAAGACACGTGGTTCCTGTGCTAAATGCCAATTTTAGACATCCGAGCTTGCTAAGAGAAGGCCATACGGTGAATTGGAAAACTGCTGGTATCTTTCGCAGTTCATCCGCAATAACGGACGGCAACTTTGAACTTCTGCTGATTGCGGAAAGCGGCCGTCAGACCCTCAACGGGCCTCACTTCGAAATTCTTCGCTTCTCGGAGAGCAGAGCGACTCACGGCAGCTCTCAGTATGAAAATACAAACTAACGGCCCCGTCAAAGCCACCAATAGACACTCCTTTCCATGAGTTAAAGCATTACATGGGGAAGAAAAACTCCATAAAAAAGTTCTGAACACATGTTCTGACATAACGGATTACTCCGACAAACCCGTGATCTTCAAGCACCGGATTCCTATCCTATGTAAATGCGACATGTCTGTAGCGAAGAACAACCACTCCCACAACATACAGAAAACTCAACCTCTGTGGTAGGACAACTCACAAAATATAAGATAGAGTAAACAATCATTTAACAATCAGCAAGTTCTAGTAAGTGGACAACCTGTATTTCATATATAGAGGCGGTGAGGGGCTTAGTGGTCACATCTTTCGGAGCTGAATAAAAATCTGAAGACAATCGGACTGTCTGATAGAAGAATCGCCAGGATGGTGCTGACTCTGTTTTTTGTGTTCTGAAGCAGTACAAGGATACGTGGATGGAGCAGAAGTGCTTGCTAGAAGTATTACTAACATCCCAGGTGCCAAGATAGAATCCTACTCGATATGGCTTAAGGAGAACCTGACGAGTTTATCCCCAGCCCGGATTGTCCTAGATTAGGAAAAGTTCATTTATCATGCGAACTCTTGATTCTGAGCTTGCTTATCTCAGAAGATGTATGGCGCGATTGACATTATGGATGAGAATGAAAACGCAATGTGGATTGAATACGGTGGAATTCGGCGCCAAATTCTGATCCTCTCAAGTGTGCACATTATTTTTTTGAAAAAAAAAAACAAAAGAAAAAAATATTTTTTTTTCATCTGGACACAATTTTTTTACAAAAGTGAGGCGACAGTTATCTGCTTTGCTTTCAATTCCAAGGTTATCAGACTATCGAGAATTGGATTGAGAAAGGATTTCACTGGCAGCAGACATCATTGGTTGTCCCTTTCAAAAGTGAATTTTGAGGTGTGGTTCATACTTTTGAAAACGCCTGTAGAGACATGCTGCGGAGAAGTCCTCCGCGGCGATACAGGCTTCAAGTCTTTCTCAGCTGACTCACCGTGGGCCGCAAGCATGTTTTCGTCGAGTTACTTCAACGCTTCCTCCTAGGAAGTCTTCAGGAGTCCAAACTTCGATGTTTGCCTAGAAGGATCTTGCTGCAGGAAGCCCCCACACCGCAGAATCCATTGGGTACAATCGGCTGAGTTAGATGGCCAAACATCCGGGGGCCAGTAAACTGGAAATGGCGGTCACAGTCACCAACGTAGTTTTGCGGCATGGTGAGGAGCCTAGTCTTGCTGAGGAGGCACTGACATTTGCTGGAGTCGAAACAGCCCATAGAGACGAGCATATCTCTGTAAAATTGTTTCCTGGTAGATCTGGGCTTAATTTTGACGGATTTGTCCACAAAACGAACGGTGTCTCGGTGTCGGAAGTATTTGCCTGCCTAAATCATGACAGATTTGGAAATCGGCTCCTTGTGTTGCGCACGACGTCGAGCAGGATGCCTGCTAGCCGAATCACACAATTGCCTGTCCTTTTGAGAATTGTGCACTAATTCCAGTGTGAATGATCTTCTCGCGTCACGTTGACAGTCACTGCTTGCGGACAAGGCCGCTGATGTCAGCTGAGAAGAGACTTGAAGCCTGTATCAGTGCCTCATCCTGCGAGGACATTTCGAGCACCTTCTTCAGTGGTGCATGGATATGTTTTACTGTTTATAAATATAATTTTCTGAATATGTAACAGTTTCTCTTTACAGAAATATGGTCAATAAACTATGCGCCAGTATTTAGTAGCCACCCTGTATTGTTCTCCTGAAACGTTCAGTATGAACGCGGCCCTGTGGCGGCCAGTGTGATTGTGCGCGACAGGGTTTGTTGGCTTGCCTGTATTCCACTAGTTATTCAGAACTAATCGGTAGTCAGCAAAGGTGTAAGAGGCGAACGTGTGAAATGAAGTGGGTTCGCGGTAAACCGACGCTTGACGGTTTATCGGACCAACTCTTTTCGCCAACTTGTTTGTACTTATTGTGGCCAATCGACTCTGTTCCAAATTGGATCGCAAGTTGCGATTCTTATTATACTTTGCTCATAGGAGGTCAGTAATATGCGAATGTCCACGAGATCAGTTTCCGTCGATTAAAGAATTTTTCGAGCGAGTTGTTGGAGCCATGCACACCAGACTCCAAAATATATGGGCAGAAGTGTCTCATATAGATTACGGTAGGTTATACTGAGTCTGGGATTGTTCTTTTTTTTCTCGGTGAAGGTTGAAATGGCAGCTCTTTAGATTCGGAGCCAACTGAAGAGGAGTTATTTTTCGAGCATATGACTTGTGTCTTATCTCGCGAATATATCACATTCCTCCGGGCCTGCTATCTCTACATCGATGGTATGAATGCAGTCAGCTTCCAATTTTCTGTCACCCCGTACTGAAATGCAAATTGATGTTTTTGTATAGGTGATGAAAAGAAACCAATGGCGATGACACCATTGGGAGAGTGGTTGTTCAGTAACAAAGTTGGCCTTTCTTCTGTGATTATGACAGCGTTCTCATCGTTGACATTCCGTGATTCCACGCTAGTTCTCAAATCTATTGGGTTTTGCAAGGTGTTGGCGGAAAAGGTATGCTTTAGTAATTGTCAAAGGTAATCTTTTCACTGCTAGGCTATCACTGCCTTTTTTGTTAGCTGTGCGACTGCTACGATGATGAAGTGGGAGTGTATATGTTGGTTTGTTCAATACGATCACTTCAATTGCATGGAGCTGACGAAGTGACCGGTACTCCACTTATTGGACTCGTGTTTCATATCTATCTCGCTTTGGTGAGTACGAATCCATTTCATTACAATTTTCATGTGTAAGTTTAATCCGGTGAATGAATTAGTTTCGCAATATAGACCTTGCGCTGCTTATGGCCGATGCCAGACTTTGCGAATCGAGCGATTCGCAGGAGTCGCGGTTGCACCGCGTACTCCTGCAGCCGACGGATCGCTTGGTTGGAAGGTACCGCAGCTAGCGAATTGCTGGATTGGCATCGGCCTATCCATCTGAAAGCAAACGTTGCCATTTTTGACGCCTTCTAGCTTGATTCTCAGGTGCTTGTCGAGTTCTCCACGGCCTGGTAGAAACGAATAAGACAAACTTATCATTAGAACTTTTATGGTTAAGGGGTGGAGGTTAACGTATTTTGCACTGATCAATGACGTTTTGGGATGCACCATGCATTCTAACTTCCATTCCGAATCGTAAAGGCGTTTTGAAGACGATGGCTTACACAGTGACTTGCGGAGCTGGCCGATGTACTCGGCATCACTGTTTCAGTAGCGTTTTCGTCCTCTCCGATGATTCTGCTTCCAATCAATCAATCTCGAAGGTATGGAAGCTCTGTTGACTTAGATGGTGTACGATCCAACGATCCAGAAATTTGATCCCGGACCGAGCGCGCGGTAATTGGCGCCACTTGTCACTACATTGCTTGCGCATAGCTTTAAAGATGCATATCAAATATCAGTATTATTATGTCTCGATACGAAAATTTTTCAGTAGAAGTGAAAGCGTAAATATGTTTTTAAAAAATTGAGCACATCAAATATTCATGGCAAAGATTCAGACTCTACAAAAGATGATGTAGAATCCATGGAGGTAGTTTCATGGTGAGCGTTGTGTTGTGGGATTTTGGCTGACGCCACACCACGTACCTCAGGGCCTTCTTTGCATCCCATCCCACCTGGAACTGTTCTTAACTTTACGCAGGGATGTCCATCGAGGGGAAAGGAGGCTGATGGAGACATCAAAAGAAAAGTCAAAATTCTCTGTGTTTGTTGCAGCTTCAGTGCACTGTGAACAGCTCTTCTTTTCAGCGTCGCTTCTCGAATTCTCTGCCTCAAGTACTAATGCAAGTTCCCAATGTAACTGCAGATATTGTGGAGAGTTTCGACAGCAAAGTGAGTTCTTCACTCTGGTGTTTAACTACAACAATCAGGCAGCTGAGCTCTTAGAGTGACTTTCTGCATTGTTACACTTCACTCATTACGGGGGCGTTGAACATCGTGATTAAGAATGCGACATCCATTTTGGTCCCACTGGACGCTAAGCTTTTGGTTTTTAACTAAACGTTTGTTTTCGGAGAGGTCTGAATTAACGCCTACGTTCTTGTGGCAGTATGTTTGTCTATTACAAGCGAATGTAGATGATTTGCCCTTTACAATCTCCTGAATTGCATACAAGGGCATGTTTAGTTCCTAAATTATTAGACGCCTGTGAGGCGATTGGGTGCTAGGCACTTTTATCGCTCCTAAAACCGGTGAGAACCGTCCTACGTTTCATCTATAACTCAGTTGATTGCAATCGTTCTGTCATGCGGCCAATTTTGAGGACTTTGTTCGAAAGAGTAATGTTCAGGTACGAGCTGTGATATCGGGCGATGATGTGATTTTAGAGAAACAAAAGAAGGAAATGGCACGCAAACTTTTCAAAGGCATGATAACGGTATGCTTTGAGGCTTTATCGGTGAAATTTGGTCTGGGTGTGGGCCGTGATTTCAAATCGCGTCGTCGCGTCTCTTGCAGTCTACTGTTTTCGCTGCGAAACTCCTTTATGTTGCAACGGGTATCGTACTCTTCTGCGAGGGCTCCCGCAGCGAAAGCATTGAATTAGCGGAGGCGCTACGTCGCACTTACTTAACTACCTTTACCTCTACTTAGTGCTTCGATAAGAAGTGACATTTTTTTCAACTGGTGTTTCAATGTTTTCTAAAGCTTTCATCTATGCAGCTTACTATTGGCGAACAACACAAAAAACCTGTTTATCTTCGTCCTCTTCCACCCATAGAAAAACGCCGACGTGTGGTGAATGAACGTGATAATTTCGAGGACATTGCGCTTCTATTTGCCTGTGAAGAAGTATAATCTTGTGATTTTTCGATCGTTTTAGCTATTTCATTTGGTTCAGTTGTTTGTTTTAGCTTTCTAAGCACGGTTTTACCACACTTCGATCTAGTTGTTTTATTACAATTTCACTTCCTTAGTTTCTGCATGATATTATTGTTTTACCCAGTTCATAGTCACTTCCACTCATACAGCCCATCATATTTCACTCCACTTTTGAAGTCTGGGGCGATTCCATTTGCGCGTTAATACTCCACTTCTCCACTTCTTCCCGAAGTAAACCCGGGCGGTACATTTCACGTACTGTTTGCCCTTGTGAAGTCATAAAGATGCATGGAAAGCGTGCGGAATGCTACCGCGGGTTGGGACGAGTTTATATTTTTAGGGAGCCCCGAAGAGACACCTGATCGTGAAGGTGCAAAATAGGATGTCCGCTATCTATTATCAGTGCATTCCACGCTGTTTGGTCTTAGAGTGAGTTACTTGGCCTTAGGGTACGTCGCTACCATGTACATGGTATACTTAGCTCTTGTCATTTAGCACCTAATGAAGCATTTGAGCTGTTCCGCGTGACACATAAAGGTAATTTGAAGCTGGCGTCAGACGTTGTGCCTGACCTGCCATTTAGGACCATCCCCATCTACCCACATCTTTAGAGTTGACTGGTTTTTTAAGTTTTTAAGTTTCTAAATCTAAAGTATGAACAAATCTAATATCTGAAATATCTGAATGACTGGAACCTAGAATAAAAAAATCTAAACTCTAATACAAATCGGGAATCTGAAATCTAATTTTTTAAAGAATTCCTCCGATTTTCACCAAAATCTCCAGCTCTTCAAAATTTTCTCTTCCCATGTCTTCTCCAAACACGATTCCTATACGACTTCTCGCCTGCCTAGGCCAAAAGCAGCGTTGATCCTGCGTGGAGCTCATCCTTGTTTTTGTAGGATAGCCGTGATAATGCTTGCAAAGACCCATGTATGAATAAGAATTGCCAAGAAGACATCAATCCTTCTTCAACAATGTTGTAGATGTTAACCCCTACCCATACCCCTTCCCTCTACCCTTCGGTGGACGCAACGCGAACACCTCTTTTGGCGATGAAGTGCACGCAAGGTCCCCAGCAGAGGCAGTAAATAGTTTAGTTCAGAGTAAAAAGATGAAAGAACGGAACAATCCGGGAATTATAATTTCACTGACGCGACGCACCGCCGTGGGTGCGTGTAGTTGGGAATGGGGTGGATTGTAAAGTTCTCGCAAATGGGATCGAGCCCAAAATGCTCCCATAGTTTTCCCTTTGTGATTTTTTTGCCTGAATGTCTGTGTTGCATACTTTATCATACTACGGTTATTATCGAACAATGTTTTACGAGCCTTTTTAATCTCCCAACTGTTTTTATGTCCTTATACGATTTTTTTTTATTTTGCTTTAAAGATTCGTTCTTGTTGATAGCTCATTATCTGTGGTATTCAATGCTCATCTTTTGAACCTATGGCTTCTAAATTGTAAAGATAATCTCTCTATGGCTTTACGGCTACTGTTTTATATGGAAGAAAATCTACTTGAAGTGCATTAATTTCACCAGGCATATGAAAAACTTGCACTTGAACTACGGTACATTAACGATGAGGTGATATTTTTTAATGATTGGTATTTGTATTTATGTTTCCTATTTGTGTTTGTATTTCTAGACCTGTAAAATTCAACGATGTAGTGTAGCGATTCATTATCATTATCATTCCTCTCTTGGGTGCTTACTTGTAATCGTCCAGTTTTATCCGCTACTGATCATTTTCGAAGTTGTTACGAACTTTTGAAATGTTGCAATGAAATGAATCTGTGAGCTTTTTGCCTATTACGTCCCAATTTTTGAAAGATAAGTTAAAATACGGGAATAGTGGGCTGAAAAAAGGTCATGTTGTGCGCTGGCTCGAGCTCTGGCTATTTGTGATTGTTTTTGCTCCCGGAGGGTTGCTGAGGTGTACCTCCAATGGTACACATCCGACTATCTCTCGAATTGTGTATCAGTTATTGGAAGCACAGACTCAGATTTTGTTTTGCCCCAGCTAGATGGTTGTTGGGCTCAACGTTGAAATTGTAGGTGTTGTATCACTAGATATACAAAAGAAGCAAAAATTTTGGAAACCCTGGGTGAAACTCTAGTTCAGGAGGGTCACTCCATTGTGCTCTCCAATGCTAAGGATAAGGATAAGAGATTTCATGACACATAATCGATTCATTTCAATTTACTTCTGCTAGGGACCGGTGTTGTGTGGAAGTGCTCTTCAGGTGCTTTCAAATTTCAGCTTGCTGTGGTCCACGGAAATGGTCCTGAACGAGGGTATAGACATCCTCCTAGGCGCGAGGATGTGGGAGCCCAGGGTGGACGACCACATGACAAAAATTGCCTAGGATGTGAACAGGATGTGATTGATTCAGGGCATACACCGGTCTTTATCAAAAATTCACTTGAAATGAGTCTCTTACCTATTATCTTATCCGTAGGATTACCATAGGAGTGCTCTCTAATACTACGGATAAGATAAGAGGAGTCGTCCCCTCCCAAACTGAGTTTCTTCAAATCCTGTCTAAGGCCCTCTATTTACTCTGGTTTACCGGTCGGAAGTATTCGTTTTGGACGAGAAGCTGACGGCAAGAGCGAGAAAGCGTGGAGATTAGAGAGATACAGACGCTGGCGTGTCATCCATTGCAAGGCGTACATTGTGAATGAGGCGTGGTTTGCAGTCAATATAAGCCTCTGCTACGCACTGTGGAGTCGCGAAAATAGTAAGCGCTGTTTGCCTCAGGACCAGTCTATCTCACAGGTGGACGGGATAGTCGTGGAAGTGCGGTTAGCACTTACAGCGGAAGTATCACACATTAGTGAGAGCCATAGCGGCTACATCGTTGTCGTTGTCGGTTTCCTGCGTGTATCAGGGCGTAATACATCGATGTCGATCGACGGCATGGATTGTCTCTGTTACAATTGTAAAAAATTTTAGTATAATAAGTAATATTTTCGTTTCCTCAAGTGAATTACGAATCTTATAGATCACATATATGCTTAAGGATAGGTTTTGCAAAATCATCCTTTTTCCTTCCATTTCGTTGATGGCTGACGAGGAAAGGTCACCAGGCCGGTCCGGCAATTTGCAATGAGGTGTTTACCTACGTATTCTTCTTAAGACGATAAGCTAGAAACCGCTTTTCGTATCTGCTAAACGGTACTCTGAACGGAGTTACGGAAGTTTTCCCCTCAACACTGTACTTAAACGCAGTATATGAGCGCTATCATTGGAGTCGTCACTATAAGCCAAGCCGGAAGGCTCACATGCGGTCGATGTGGCGTAAGTGGTAACGCTCCAGGCTTGTGGGCGAGAGGTCATGGGATCGGTCTCTCGTGGTGTCTGTCGTTTTGCCTTTTTGAAAACATGACCAGAAAGTCTTTTAGCGACAGTATCTCCTCAATTCCTGTCTTTACCTGCCTGTGTAAGGAGTTAAGGACCACCTCTGCGCAGGTTGAAGCTATTTTTAACACTGGAAACGACGCTCATAGCCCACTGATAAGGTGTTTTTGCGGTAAACGAGTATGATATTCGT